TCAGTCATTCACTGGAGAGGCTGGTATCAAGGTTCGTTTGTGTTCACACATACATCCTTCTCCCAATGGGTCGCATTTATTAGTTTGGTGATTTTGATAGAAGTTGACTGGCATATTGTTGCTGTTCTATGTATCTACAGATGATCTCTAGTTTGACTTTTAAGCAAGAAAATACAATAGCAGAGGAACCGATGGTTGATCTTTTGAAGTACTTGAATAACATGCTTGATGCCGCAGCTGCTAATGCCCGGTTACCATCTGGACACAATCCGCTAGAGCAGCTTGTTTTGATAATAGCTGATGGCTGGTTTCATGAGAAGGTAAATTTCTTTGGTGAAGTGTTGGTGAAGTTGCCACCTTTCACATTTCTATTTACTCATTTTATTTTACTTTTTTTTGTAGGAGAACATGAAACGCTATGTCAGAGATCTCTTGAGCAAAAAACGGATGGTCGCATTTCTTGTGGTGGATAGCCTACAGAAATCCATATTGGACCTTGAGGTGACCACTGAACTTTTTTTTTTTTTTTTGCATTAGGTTCTTGATCTTGTACTTTTTCATAGTTCTTGAAGTAAGAAAATTTGCCAACATGATTGATTTTCTCGCCCCTTTCCAGGAAGCCACCTTTCAGGGCGGAGATGTTAAGCTTTCGAAGTATTTGGATTCATTCCCCTTCCCTTACTATGTTGTGCTCAAAAACATTGAAGCACTTCCCAGGACGCTTGCTGATTTATTAAGACAGGTGACTATATATCTCAACAAGCGATTACTATCTTTCAATTCTAGATTTGTTTAACTGAGTTATTGTTGATAACGCAAGTACTGAATCATGATCTTGGTTTTCCTCCATGCAGTGGTTTGAGCTTATGCAACACTCAAGAGAATAGGTTTGCCTAATTTTACACAATGTCAAAACTCAGAGAGATGTACATAATATCTTCCTCAGCCTTTTGGCTCAGATCAAGTGTACATATGATACATGTATTTAGGACAAGCTCAGTAAATCACATCCTCGCAATCTGTCTCCTTACCGGATAACACACAGTGAAGCTTTTCTTGGCTTTCGCTTTATGTTTTCCCCTCTCGGAGGGGGTGAAGGGGTGGGGGGAGCTTCTGTTTGAACTGGTGCTCTGTATAGCTCTGTATAGGCAAAATGGCCTCTTCCTACCTTCTTTTCATGTTGTAACTATGAAAAACTTACCTTAATAGTGCCAAAGTAAAAATAGTATACAAGCTTCAGTCTTCTGATCAGTTTCTGGGCTGGCAATTTAATGATAACCAATGTGGTTGCTTTTTTCACTTCTTTTCTTTTGTTACTGATATAGCATTTTACAAAATCAGGTGAATTCCAGATTTTAACAAATTCAACCATGTAAATGTTCTTGCTAATATTTGTGACAGGGGATTTAACATTGACAAGGTGAAAATAAGCGTTGGATTAGACCAGATCCAATCCAGTCTTACCTCTGTTCTTTCTCATGTTACTTAATGGAAACAACTGTGAATTGCAGTTGAGATAATGGTAACAGTGTCAATGATACAGATACAAATGATGATACATAAAACAATTGAGCAAATGAATATAAATGAAATATGTATTGTTACGAATTTCAACAAAACAATGAAATTGTATTTGTTAATATAGTTGATATAACTGATTTGCATGAACGAATCGAATAGAATAGCCTTTGATACAATTGTGTTCATAAAACAATTATAGATTAGATATATAGATTATTTACTTGCCTCTCCTTCTCCTTTCTTAATTTTACTCTCCTCTTTCCTCATGACACATAATTATAAATCATAGCTATAAAAAGTATAATTATATTTCAAACTAGGTAATTTGTCTGTGCTTCACGCGATCATAAATAATAATTGAGTTGAACTTGCAAATTTCTTTTATTAATATTATTACATCATATATTATTATAAGTAGGAAGATTTTAAGTTCAAAGTTGGATTACAAAAATGTCCTTCATCAATTTTTTAAATTAATTTTTTTTTACTAATTTTTATAATAAAATCAATAATGACAATTAAACTAGATCAAATACATTATTAGATGTTACAACTTATCATTTTCCATTTCTTAATGAATTTGATTGTTAAAACTTTTTAGCTTCTACCATTAATCACATTCATGAACAAACCTTTCATGTACTTAATTTCTTCCTTATAAATTGGATAAAAAATATTAATCCACCACACTTTGTATTTCATCATCTAATACTTCTTACGTAAGGAGTATTTTTTTGCTGGTCACTATTTTTCTTGTCGATTTGTGCCTTCGTTCATTTTTTATTTTCATGGTTGTTAGAGATACACATAATCTAATAGTTCTTATAATATTTTTTATTGGTCACTATTTATCTTATTGGTTTGTGCTTTTCATTCATTTTTTTTATTTTAATGATTGTTGGAGTATTTATGTCCCAAGAAACTTCAGCCTTGGGGTCTTAGTTCTAGCCTTACAAGTTGCTCATCATTCCCTCATAAAATTGTTGATATTTTAGTTTAGGCAGAAAGTAAACACTAAAAAGAGTTTATTTTATATGTACAAAAAACACATATAGGAGTACATCAGACAATGTTGATCAATTTTATATCTTGGGTCTATATAAATTATAACAGTAACAGAGGTAAAACATGCAAGGCACGTTTTCAGAACTAGTACATTAATAATAATGGGAAATTGGTTCTTAAAGAAACATTAGCAATATTTCAATAGAAATTCAATCATTTGTCATTATCAATAACCCAAGAACCTCACGTAGGCCGAAAAGGGGTAGAAAAGAAAATTATTTATAAAATAAGTTATGAAGGATAATAGGATCTTAGTATAGTATAAATGTTTCTCTGAGATTTCGGATATAAGTTGGAGGTACTTATGCATTTTTCAAGAAAAATAAAGAAGAAAATAAGAATATATATACAAATATGTTAACATATTTAAAAAATGAAATTACACTTGAACATGAAAGCAATTATAACTTGGAACTTGCTTAATAAATTTCTTCAATTGATAAGTGAGAAATTTCACATCTATGTTAAAACAGATAGTATGTAAGATTTTATATAATACTTTTAAGTTATAGAATTTCAAAATAAGAATTCTTGAAACCAAGTAACAATATTTATATATTTTTCTGCACAATGAATATGCATACTATATGTGTATGTGTTCAAATAACTAAAGACAATAACTTTGTAGAAACATAAATAACAGAGTTAAAAACATGTATTCAAAAATAACAATTAAAATCATATGTATGAATAAATGAGTGTAAAAAGACATATCAGGATATGTAAAAATAGAATGAAATAGAAAGGAAAAATTGAGTCCACTAAAAGCATCATGTCCATTTAAGAAAATTAATCCCCTCTAATATCATAGGTTTAAAGAATTATATCTTCTCAAGATGGAACAATTTTATTCACCAACTTATTGGTATAAAAATAGTGGTGTCAGTAAGTCACCCAACATGAGCTAAGCACACAAATATTTAATTTTACGGAAGTAGAAGAAGAATATCAAATTTTTTGTTGTTTTAAAATGAGAAAGAATTCCGCTATTTATAGACAACAAAGTGTAGTGTGAACAAATGTTTATTGTGCCTTATCAGAAATGTTACAACTATTTCAAAAAGTTGCTACCCTTCGGAAAGTTCATAATCTTTTCATAAAAGTACCAACTCTTTATTAAAGTCGTAACTTTTCATAAAAGTCACAACTTTTGAAAGAATTCGCAACTCTTTATTAATGTCACAACTTTTCATAAAGTCACAACTCTTAATTGAAGTCGCAACAATTCATGAAAGTCACAACTTTTGAAAGAAGTCGCAACTCTTCATTAGAGTAATAATTTTTCATAAAAGTCGCATCTTTTCATAAAAATGGAAGTCTAGTTTTAAAAATAAATAAAATTAAAAGAAATTCTTACTTGCGATAACGCCATATAAAAATGCCTACGATTCTTTTTTTATATAAATATATGTTTTTTTGAATTTGCTCTTCATTTAATCCATTCCAATGAAACATAGACTAAACGATCATTATTTATTCAAATAAAATAGAATAATAAAAGTAGTTGTCTAAAGGATCATTGCCTCATTCCCACGTCCACCTACAAAGTATATATATCTTCGCATTTATGAATTTTGGTGTAAGTACATTTTGTATTAGGCCTTTAAAAATAATCCGAAGTATAAGTATTTAATGTTAGGGTAAAATATAAAAATATATATATAAAGATTAAAATATGTTATTGAATTTTTAGAAAGAGCTCATTTTATGTCGATCATACTGTTAAAGTAAGTGCCCATTTATGCTGTTATTTTTTAACAGTAATTTTACAAAATCATTTTTGATACGTGACCAATTGTAATTTGGCCACATCATCATTTTTAAAAATAAAATATTGTAATTAAATTTTTTAAATTTTTTTATTTAAAAAATTGATGACGTGGCCGAATTATACATCAATTATTTTAGTAAAAAAATAAAATTTTGAATAAAAATTGAATAATTTTTTTTTAATTAATAAATTGGTGACATGGCAGAATTATAATTGGTCGCATGTTAAAATGATTTTGCAAAATCATTATTAAAATAATAACATGAATGAGCCAAACATTTAACTAATGACATAAATTTTTTTTGAAAATTTAATGACATATTTGAGTTTTTTTTTTTGATATTTAAAAAATAACAAGTAAAAATAAAAATATATTTTAAGAATAAGTGTCGAGTATGTTCAAAACTTATTCTGGAAAGTTAAAATAATGCAACATTCCAGAGTTTTAGAGCTGTGTTCATTCATGTTCATTGAACAATTTACGTGTCACTCAGCAAACTATTAAATTAAAACACTATAGCTAAGTGGCATAAAAATAAATAAATACGTGGCTAAGGCAAAATCAAACAACACACACATAATATACAAGTGATACCAAAACACATAAATTTTGTATCAGTATATATAGATAGAGATAGCTGTATTTATTTCTTGGAAGCAAGAAATAAAATGAATTGAAGTGGAAAAATAAGAAAAATTTGTTATTTGAAGAAAAAAAATATTAATATGGCATCATCAATAGGACCATGGTTGGGTGGTGGTGGACGAAGTAGAGATATGGATTTTGTAAGCCCATTTTCATCTGATGTATTGGGCCTGGGCTTTGGTGGTGAATTGGGCTTTGGTAATGGATTGGGCTTTAGGAATGATGAAATTTCTGCTTTGGCCCATGCTAGTGTCGACTGGCGTGAAACTGATCAAGCTCATGTTTTTCTTGTTGATATTCCTGGTTAACCATCTAATCCCTTCTATAACTTTTTTTTTTTTTAATGATATAATTGCGTTTTATAGTTATAATTTTAATAATCGTGTTTATAGTTAATAGTTTTGTTTCTTACGATAGGTTGTGATTTATATATTTCTATTTTGTTTAGAAATTTTTAAATTATCGTTTGTATATTTCTTTTGTCAATATATAAATTAGGTAGTTCATTTATTTAAAAAAAAATAAAAGCCTGATTTTGTTTCAAAACAATGACTTTTTTGGTAACTTTTCACGTAGAAATTTAGAATTTTTTCAAATTATCGTTTGTTATATTTCTGTTTTTGTCAATAGATAAATTAGGTAGTTCATTCATTTAAAAAAAAACTAGTTCTGTTTCAAAACAATGATTTTTTTACAAACATTTTAATTTTAATTTTTTATTTGACATATTTAAAACATTAAAGGACATTTTGGTATATTTAATATACTTTTAATTTTTCTTTTTAACTTCGTTTTTAATTAGGATTTTTTTAAAAAAATAGAGGGAGTATGATTTTTTTTTTAAAATAGAGGGAGTATGATTTTCCATAAATCATATACAAATATTTCATATAAAATTTTTGAATTTTTATATCATCAGGATTTGAATTACACAATTACAAAAAATTTTGGATTTATATAAGGATTTGAATGATATAAATTTTATATTTATACAAATCTTGAGAATCTCAAGAATTGAGAAACTTTTAGTTAAGAGGAATATAGAAAAAATTTACGTGTATTAATTTAATTTTCATTATTATATAATTTTAATGAAGTAAAAACACATTTTAATTAAAGTTTAAATTATAAATAGAAAAAAATTACTGTAGTAATTCAATTTTCATTATTATATAATTTTAATAAAATAAAATACATTTTAATTAACGTTTAAACATACGACATGTGTGTATTTGAATTAGATTGCATGTATTAGATTGGTGTAAATTTTCGGATCCATAACAAGTGGATTGGATTTTGAAATGGTACATAGGTGTGAAGAAGGAAGATTTAAAGGTTCAGCTCGAAGATAACATATTGGAGATTAGCGGTGAAAGAGTAAAAGAGGAAGAAAAAGGCGATGACAAGTGGCACCGCGTGGAGCGTAAACGTGGCAGTTTCTGCAGAAAATTCCGGCTACCGGAAAATGCCAACGTGGAAGGTATAAGTTGTGGGCTTGAAAACGGAGTTTTAACAGTGAATGTACCCAAAAAAGAAACACAGCAGGTTCCAAAAAATGTTAAGGCTATAAACATAACTTAGTTTTTGCGCCTGTGAATATAGTATGTGTGTATTAAGGCTTTTAAATAAGTGGATCACTTGTATGTACAAATTAAAAATATCAAATAGTATTTTTTACATTTTGTGTGATTATTTAATGGCCAATTGTGTCCATATGGTCTTTACTAATATTTACTTTTAAAAGAATAATTCTTGAATTTCATGATCTGGGTGTTAAAATTTTTTATCAGTTTAGTGTATTTAGATTTAATTTTTCTCAACAAAATTGTGTCCATCTGGTCTTACTAATATTCATAATTCATTTTAGCTCTTAACTTTTTAGAAGAATAATTCTTCAACTTTGTGAATTTTTATACATCAACAAAGGTTGTCCTAGAAGTTTTTATCAATATACGTTAAAATGTATTAGATTTAATGTCCAGAAACATGTACAAGATGTTTTTTAAGTCTTAAAATGTATTAGATTTAATGTCTAGAAAGATGTACGAGATGTTTTTTTAAAGTCTTTTAGGGATATGTACAAAGAATATTAGTTATTAAAATATATTAAATTTAATGTCTCTAATATTTTAAATTTAATGTCTCTAATGTTCTTTTAGGAACATGTATAAAGAGAGTATTACTCGCTAAGAGAGTATTAATTGCTGTTAAAATATTATATTTAGCGACACAACTGCAATCCAAAAACTAAAATCGATCTTAAAAGCAGTCAACCTATTTAGTCTTTAGCCTGAAGCCCTGAACTCTTGAGATTAAATAATTTTGCAAATACAAAAAATGGAGAGTCAGATTTTTCATTATTATTAATTTTTGTACCATTAGGGTCATTTATTGGGATAATTTTACTTTTAACTATTTGATTTATTGGATATTGAGTTTTATATTTTTTATAATCTGCTAGCTAATATGTAAGATATTGATTAATTTGCTGACAGAATAACAGATGGTATATCGACTAATTTCTAATCTACATGATATTTTTTTTTATTATCCGATGGTTAAGTGGTGATCTATTGACTAATTTCTAAAGTTTTATGGTATTTATTTTCGATAAATGCACCTTATAAAATGGACGATTTTTAAACGACAACAAATTATAAGTTGATTTAGATTTTCAACTGATTGTTTATATTTTCATTGTCACGTGAAAACATTTTTATCAATGACGCGATATATTGTTGCATATTTTTATTCCTTTTTTTTGAATTTCATGAAAAATTTCATTCTATCTCTCTCGTTACGAATAAAAAACTAGAATGAAATCCAGACAAATTTTTTTTGAGTTTTGCTGATTTGTTTTCTTTTTTTTAAAGCAAAATAGTTAATTATTAAAAAAATTGTAAATAAGCGATATATTGTTGCATATTTTTCATGTATAAATCCTAACTTTTTTTCTGAGTTCGCTGACTTGTTTTTTTCTTTTTTAAAGAAAAATAGTTAATTATTTTAAAAAAAATGTAAACAAGTTTTCATAACTTCATGACTTTTGCCTTTAGGAGTTACAAACAAAGGGAAAAATATATAATTTCTTTTATATCTGTGGTAAAATATGATGCTAATATATCTAAAATAAAAATACAAGTATGATAACTTTTAATGGATTAACAGTTTATTCAATAAGAAAATTGGATAATCCACTCTCACCTCAGTAAGCCATTAACTATAAAATTCTAATTTGTTCCTCAACTATTTATTTGATAATCAGTAGCGGATCCAAGATTGTTATTAAAGGATGTCAATAGTTATAGTAAAAAAATATAATTATGAGGATAGTATGACTAGAACCCATGAAATGATTTTCACAATATTTAACTATCAAATTAAATATTTAACTTGTGTCAAGATGTGTTAATGCTTACATATGTATTTACTAAACCAAATTTTAATAGATAGATACAATGTAATTTTTCGACGGAGGGGTGTCTACTCCGCTTTGGTAAAGGTAGATGCGTCATTGTCGATAACTCAATATCAATAACCAATTAGCTAATTATGATTCATTAATCGATTTGGTTTAAAAGAGTTCGGAATCAAAAAAGCAAAAAAAAAATCAAAAATTTTAAAAAGGCACATCAATTTTCTTTTTAACTAAAAGGGCAAAAGCTCCATCACGAATGATTTTTTCAGATGAAATTGACGCCATTACTGAATTAAAAAACATGAAAATCCGTTCCCTAGTAGCGATTTCATCCAAATTGTTTTTTCTTTTTTTCTTAGAATCGCTGTTGTGGCAACGATAATGATTAGATTTTTTGGGGAAATAAGAATCTTCCAATCTACGGCCAAAGTGAAAGAAAATGTACTAATTTTCAATTGCCTTTCACTTTAAAAATAAATTACTGTTTTTTTTTATAAAAAAAACCTGCTTTCTTTGATGCAGCAACGTGTTCAAAAAAAATTAATGTTATCGCTGGCTGCCTTGCAAGCGATTTAACAAAAATTCTAACTTTTTTTAAAAAAATTCGCTAGCAGCAATTTTAATTTTAAATTTACTTTTTAAAAAAAACGCTGCAAGGACAGTGATGTAACAGAATTAATTTTATCAAAACGAAATTGGACTGTCAAGAGCGATTTTACCCTTTTTGTTTAAAAGAAAATTGATATGTCCCTCTGAAATTTTTGGCCTTTTTTTCTTCTTCTTGACTTCTAATCATATATGTATATATATAAAAAAGAAAATCTCAGATCCGTCTACGTGGCGCTCCCACAAATAAGAATTTCGTTTTAAATTTATTTATTTTCAAAACTAGTCTTCCCCTTCATGAAAAGTTGTGACTTTTATGAAGAGTTGTGACTTTTACGAAGAGTTGCGACTTTTATGTAAAATTATGACTTTTGCAAGAAGTTGTAACTTTTACAAAGAGTTACGACTTTCGTGAACAGTTGCGACTTTAATGAAACTTTTGTGAAAGTTTGTGACTTATATAAAGGTTGTGACCATTATGAAGGGAAGCGACTTTTTCAAGTAGTTGTAACCTTTTCAACAAGACACAATAAACATTTGTGGAGGTTATCATTTGTTGTCTATAAATAGAGGGATTTCCTCTCATTTTAAAACAACGAAAATCCTAAAACTTTCTTCTTCTTTTCTTCTTCTTCTTCACAACTAAATAATTGTGTACTTGGTTACGATTGAGTGACTCACCGACACCATTGGTTATGTTACAGATCTTGGTATGTATTTTTACAGTCATTAGTTTCTACTTATGTTATTAAGGATAAATGATAAGATAAGTTACATTTATCAACTAAATATTTGTGAACTTGATTCGTGATGAGTGGCTCACTGACACTATTACTGACAACATTGCTTATGTTACAGATCTTGGTATGTACTCCCTACCCTTGTCTCAAAAAAAAAAGATAAGATGTACTAAGTTTCATTTTTCTTTACATTATTAATATTTGTTATCGCGTAATCTTGTACATAAGATAATATAGTATTTTAATTTTAATGACTGATAGATCTAAATTATTATTTTATAAATTTTGTTATATAAAGTTTCCGCGCGAAGCACGAGTAAATTTACTGATTCTAATTTTAAAACACCCTACTATTAATATCATAGTGAAGCAGAAAAGAACAACAATATCAAACTCAGGATTTGGAAAGAGAAAAAAACATCATAATTATTTTTATAATCTAGCGGAATATGTAATGAATTTAAAATATAGTACTACTTCTTTAAAATTTGAAAAGATCTTTGACGATTTTGCTGACACAATTGATTAAAAATATATACAGTTCAAAGGACTAATGTATGCTTGGTAGAATATGAAAGCAAACAAAAGAGTGGTAAAAAGTTGGCATAATCAAAATACGACTTTGATTCATCTTTACTCAAATTGGACAATTATAGGAGTTGGTAAGCTTTTGAATGAAATATATTCTAAAATTCTATTGATTCTTTATTATAGGAAAGATAATTTTGATGTGATCTAATAAAAAATACTTTATTAGTTAATCATTTTGATGCAAAACTAATCAACAACGTAATGGATTTTATCAACTCAACCTGCAAATTGATAATATCCATTAGCAACTATATCCACTTACCAATCCATGGACTCATTTCATTGGCTTCACATATGGTTTTGAGATTCGAAAATGTATATGGTTTTTAAATTACTCCATATAGTTTGAGATCATTTGGGCTTGTTTGATTGAATTGGATAGTGTGTCAAATGTTGATCACGCAAATTCAACAAATTTTGGTATCAGAACACTAGATTCTCATCATTGAAGCATCACAAGACCGTTGAGCGTGAGCATACATACCCGGGTTCCTTAACGTGGAGATCCGGGAGGAAGGGATGGCTGCTATTTTTCATGAAAATGCAGGTTGTTCAAACTAGCTCGGCCAATTCATTTCCAAACACCTATATTACATACACATTGTCAACAAACAGAAGCTTACAAGCCTTATTCAGAAATACAACATTCAGTTACAACAACACATAGCGTTCAGATTTCACAAGAAAGATAGCTAAATACCAACTAATAGATGATCTCAACGGGCTCGAAACCTTTCTCAATTGATGCCTTGACAGCATCCACCACAAGTTGTGTCTTTCTACTAATCGTTGGCCACTTCTTCTCAGGTTTAGAACCTTCCCCTTTGATACTTCCAACCAGGTTTGAAAACTCCGTTACCATCAGAGCCTCTTGAGGAAGATCTGTATTGACTTGATGCTCACTAGGTGCAGGATGAATTGATCTAGCAAGTTCACCAAAACACGAACCTTCCACAGTGTAAAACGGAGCAACATTTTCTTGAAATGGAATTACAAAGTCATGGACCCGCAAATTTCCTTTGGATCCAATAGCAACGATGTCCATGGCCATATTAGCTAAAAATGAACAATAAAAAGTTGCTACCCTTCCGTCTTTCCAACTCAAAGAAGCGCCACAAGATAGGATAACTCCAGCTTCATTAAATTCTGGATCACCCAGAGCTGTTACTGTTTTTGGCAATTCATAATCATTAGTCCACAAGATTGCCCGAATACTATACCAACCAGCATCACCTAGAGCACCAAGAGCATCAAGATCGGACTTCACGCGAATGTCATTCTCAAGAAACTCCGCGTCACCAAGATAAGAAAACGTGCTATGTATCTGTCAACAAAAAATAAG